TATAATATATAACCATGCGATTTTTTTTCTAACAATAAAATTATGATAGTTTTAAAAAATTATTATAATTTATATATTTATAAAATGGTAAAAATACGAAAGAAAAAAATATGATATATAGTGAAAAAATGGTATATTTAAAAAATTAAGAGAAAAACAAAATAAAATTTAAAAATAGTTTTTAAGAAATTAATCTTTCAAAAATATGGGCACATGCATTTTTAGTTTTGTGTTTCCATTAATTATAATAAAATATTATTTTTTTATAAAAAATGTTATGATTTAAAAAAATTATATATAATTTATATTTATATATGAAAGAGATTTATTTTATAACTTTTTTTTCTTTTTCACAAGGGAGTAAAAAATAAAAAATATTATAGTTTTAACAAAATAATTATTATGATTTATATATTTAAAAAATCGTAAAAATATCAGAAAAAAATATAAAGGAAGAAAAAATAGGATATATTTAAGACTTGAAAAGAGAAAATAAATTTTATACTCTACTTTTAACCGTTTGTTTAGTGTCATCGAAGACAAAAAAAAATATCATACTTAAAAAATAATTATTATGATTTATATATTTTTAGAAATAAATATATGAAAAAAAATTATACACAGAAAAAAAGTGGATATATTTAAAAAATAAATAAGAAAACAAAATAAAAATTTTAAAATATTATAATTTATTAGATAAGTCCACAGTTTATTGTTTTATCTATTTTGAATATTGGGTCTGATTTAAAAATTTATTTTATTTTTTAATTATTTTTTATTAGGTTGAATATGTAATTAGTGAAAAAAGTGAATACATTACAAAAAAGAGAATAATATATATATATATATATATATATATATATATATATATATATATATATATATATGTGAGATTGAGTTAAAGTTAGGTAGTTAATTATGTTGTTAGTTTGTTTTTATTATTATTTTTAGTTTTTATGTTACCACTGTACATGTAATTACAACACTCTATAAATAAATAATATACAGTGAATAATACATTAGTTATGCAGTTTCAATTCATTGCACTTTATTTCTGCATGTGCCTTCTGGTTTAACATGGTTCAAAACTCAAATGTTCAATGAATTTGAGATGAATGATTTGAGAGAACTCAATTACTTTCTTGGTATTGAGTTCTCAAATACGAAACATGGAGTGATTATGCATCAATTAAAATATGCACAGGATGTGTTAAAACGATTTAGAATGATAAAAAGTAACTTTGCTAGTACACCTGCAGAGGCGGGACAAAAACTACAAGCTGAAATAGATGAAGAACAAGTTGATGCAACCCAGTACCGTAAAATTGTTGGCAGTTTGAGGTATCTCTGAAATTTCAAACCTGATTTAAGCTATAGTGTGGGCTTAATTAGTAGATACATGCAAAATCTAAGAGAATCTCATATGTATGCAGATAAGAGAATCTTAAGATATTTGAAAAGAACAATGGGTTACGAGATTTTATTTCCTAAATCGAGAACTAAAACTATGTTGGAATTGGTAGGGTACACTGATTCAGACTGGTGTAGTGATAAGGGAGATAGAAAAAATACCGCTGACTACATTTTCTTCCTTGGAGGAGCTCCAATCTCATGGAACTCAACTAAGGAGCCTGTGGTGGCTTTATCCCCGTGTGAAGCAGAATATATTGCTGCTTCGGAAGCCTCATGCCAGACTGTTTGGCTAAGGAATGTTCTCTAGGAATTGAAAGTTGATCTGACAGAGAAAGTGAAGCTACTCATTGATAATAAATTTGCCATAAACTTAGCAAAACATCTAGCCTCATATGGGAGGAGCAAACATATCGAGACCCGTTTTCATTATATTTGGGATCAAGTTGATAGTGAAAAATTTGTTGCAGAATATTGCAAGTCTGAAAATCAACTTGCAGACCTCTTTACCAAAACCTTTAAAGCTGAAAGATTCAAATGGTTAAGAGATGAAATTGGAGTTGTGAGTATGAAGACAACTTTGATTTAAGGAGGAGTTGGAGATTGAGTTAAAGTTAGTTAGTTAATTCTGTTGTTAGTTTGTTTTTGTTATTCATTTTTAGTTTTTATGTTACCACTGTATATATAATTACAACACTATGTAAATAAGTGATATACAATGAATAATTTAGTAGTTATACAGTAAGTATAATTTTAATCCATGTACTTTCATGTGAAATTGGAAATAGTATCTATGTCAAAGTTTACATAAAAATGATCCCTATATTTTTGAAATGATTGGAATAAATCCCTATTTTAATCGGTGTTAAATATATGGTGATATGTCTAACAGAGATAATGTGACCCATTCATTATTTGACACATGTAATTATTAAAAAAAAAACAAAGTTCTTCTTTAAAAAAATAGAAATTATTCAACAGAAATTATTATTTTAAAAAAATAAAATTAAAAAGTAGAAGTTTTTCTTTTCTTATCACGCACCAAAACTCTTCAGTTCTCATCACAACCACTTTTCATTCTCTTTTCTTTTTTCGTTACAACTACTTTTCATTTTTTTTCGTCACACACCAAAGATCTTTTCCTTTCTCGTAAAGGTTGTATGAAGTCAAAGTGACTTTGAAGTTCGAGAGTTCTATTGGTTCGACTGGCGATGCGACGGTGGTGCACAACGATAGTGTGTGATATACCATAGCTAGGGTTTTTATTTTCGAAAATTAAGGTAGAGAAGTTTAAATAGCTTATAAATGACATAAAAGTTTAAATTTCTTTTTAAATGACTTTTAAATGTTATAAATACAGATTTGAATGATTTTTAAAAGCTTGATACCTTTTAATTTTATTTTTTTAAATAGTTACACATGTCAAATAATGATTGAGTCATATTATTTTTGTTAGACAGATCAATATATACTTAACTCCTTTTAAAATTGAGACATATTTCAATCATTTCAAAAGAATAGAGATCATATTTACGGGGAATTATGACAAAGAGATTATTTTGAATTTCACATAAAAATACAGATACTAAAAACATATTTAATCCTTGTTATTATTATTATTATTATTATTAATATTAATATTATTATTATAGTAGAAAGACAATTAAACATTGTTGATAAAAGAATGATGGTGTGGAATCGTGAAGATGGTTGCATTTGCAGCCAGGCTGTGATTCCAAGAACAAACCAGGTTGTGTAGTGAATAGTGCGAGACAGATTTTCTCATGGCTCTGTCTAACCACTAATTTAATGTGGTTCTGAGTGTGAAACCATTTTTAAATGTCAAAAACATAGACAAGGGTGGCTGAGGAGTGAGAGAAGGACGAGAAGGGTAGCAATGTGTGGTGGAAAGAAATGCTGCACCCAAATCAAGAAAGAAAGAACCCAACATTGGTTCACATGAGTGATACAGAGAAAAGAAAAGAAAAGAAAAGAGGGTTATCTAGATTAGTCACAACATGGCATGTGGTTTGGACTTAGTTAGGTCTTAGAGTGCTAACCCTCTTCGATCCTTCCTTTCACTTTTTCTTACCCTGCCACCATGTGGAGCTTTTCAGAATCCACCACCCACTTTCTCTTTGTGGAGTAAAACCCTTCAGCTTTAGGAAGCCATCGATGATGTACCATCAAGCATGCCTCCTTCCTTCATCTTGTTATTATTGCATATGGCCCAACTCTCTTACCCTTTTGCACTCTTGCTAAATTGTTCTCGTAGAAGGCCAAAGTATTTTATCAAGGGTCTCTGAAATTTTAATTTTGCTATTTATTTATTTATGATCTCTTATTGAGAGTAAGAATAGTAAAAATTGAGAAGATAAGAAAAGGAAACATCAATGCTGTCCTAATTGGTGTTGGTTGCACTGCCAGTGTCTGCTGGTAGAGAGGATGGTGCAAGCAAGTGTTGATCTGTACAATTAATGAATGCAATTCAAAACAAAACAAAACAAAACATCATCCTCCAAGCCAAATTCATTCTCCACTCTTCATCAACTATCCATTCTTTATCACCCATTTTACTTCACTATGCAGCAATTCCTATTTTTTAATTTACATTTGCTACCAAAACATTTTTTCCATCATTATATATAAATATTTATATTTTTTTACTTACTCAAACAATTTATTGTGTCTCTCTAATGTCCACATATTTCTTGGTCTGTAGTAAAATATTAATAATTTGATGCATAAATATCTATTTAAAAATTAATGTTTTATTAATACTTTTTCTACATATATAGATCTGAAATCAATCTCATAATCAAGTAAGTAAAAGTTTCAGCCAACAAAACCATACCAGGTTGATTGCTCTATATTATTATTATTATTATGGAAAAAAGCTTATCCATTCTAATAGAAGTATCCAAGCGAGTGTAGTAATACTAACATAAATGGAAGCTCTTTACAGTGCTAAACTAATATATGTACTCATACTTATTAATGTGACAAAGACTTAACTGTTTCTGCAACTGGACCTCACTAGTCACTCTAATTAGGATGTACTTTTGTTTCTATTTTTTTTAATATATATATATATATAATTTTTGAAACTCACAAAAATGAAGTTTATTATATATCCACCATAATTAATTCATATTTATACAAACATTAATAACAAGACCATCTCAATCTCTCCCAATCCATCCCCTTTTCCCTCTTAAACCTCTCCTAAAAGCAAAATAAACCAACCCCTCAACTACCTTAACCACCACCACAATCTCCCTCTCACACTCCTCCCCCATTTTCACACCATTTTCCCTTTCACTCACTCCTCCTCATCCCTCTCTTTCTCTCTCCTAAAGAGCAAAATGCAAAATCCCCCGCCTCTCCATCTCCTTCCTCACTCACCAAAATCCAAACTTTGAACAACTAAATCCTACCCTTTATTCCAAACAAACATACAAAACAAAATCCAACACCCCCCACTTCTTCCTTCCTCCCAAAACCCCACCTTTCCCCCTCCAAACTCCACAAAAATCAAAACCCTAATTAAAAAAAAAACAACCTTTGTTCTATTCTAGTTCCCACTTTCAATGTGGCAATCTTGGAACAAACCACGTTCATCTTCCTTCTCATGTTCTTCCTTCAAAGACATTCAATCCCTCTTCGTAGATGAACCCTCCACCACCAAACCCAAACCCTCAATCTTCCACCGGGTCGCACTCGCCAACAAGCTTCTCCGAGCGTGGTCTAATCATCCCAAACTCACTGCACGCGCCTCCGATGAAGCTCCACGCGCCGCCCAATCGCACCCTCCGCCGTCCATCCCCCGTGCGGAGCAGCGCGTAGTGGTGTACTTTACGAGCCTGCGCGTGGTCCGTGGCACGTTCGAGGACTGCAAAACGGTGCGCTCCATTCTGCGTGGGTTCCGCGTCGCGTTGGACGAGCGCGACGTTTCGATGGATTCGGGTTTCCTCGCGGAGCTCCGTCGGGTCACCGGTCGCAAAACGGGTCTGACCCTCCCACGTGTGTTCGTCAACGGAAGGTACGTGGGTGGGGCCGATGAGGTGAGGTGGCTGCACGAGAATGGCGAGCTCAAGAAGCTCCTCGAAGGCTTGCCCGTAACTGATTCTCACCTTCGCGCGTGCCACGTGTGTGACGATCACAGGTTCGTGCTGTGCGGGGAATGTTCGGGTGCGCGGAAGGTGTACGCGGAGAAAGGTGGGTTCAAGACGTGTACGGCGTGCAACGAGAGTGGCCTGATCAGGTGCATCTGTTGTTCTTGCTGACTATGTGCACCTGCACCTCGTTCTCTCTCTCATGATTCGTGATGATTTTTTTCTCGTCTCAGTGTGAGTGAGAGAGTGGGTCCTAATTAATAGTTAAAATTCAAAAAAGGGCAAAAAAGTAAGAGAATTGAGGTGCAGTTATGTCAAGAAAATAAATAATAAAACAAATTTTTCAAAAATTTATATGTAGATTTGTGGATTATCTTATTAAGTTTTATTTTATACTTTTATGGGCTTGTAAGAAATGTGTAGGCCCAATAGGTGTAGAAGAATGGAATTTGAGTTTTCTGCCTCTGAATTGGGATTTTTTTTTTGCTAACTTAAATCATGCTGTTGAACTCGTAAATTCTTACTTAATAACATGCTGTTTTTTTTTCTTTATTATTAGAAATCACAGAATGAAAGAAAACCAAGTTTATGTATGTAAGAACTAATAAATTATGCATATTTATGTGAGAATGTCTAAAATGTATCACATCTTTAGAAGTTGTGTTCATAGTTATTTTGTACGCCACCTCAATTAGTTCTTTACGAAAAGGTTTTTGTTTTCTAGAATCTAATATTAGGAAACAATGTTTTTTATGTTGAATTTAATTTTAAAGAAATAAGAACTATTATAATGTAAGGATCTTATGCCAAACTCACATGAGTTTTATTCTACTTAAAAATATGTTATCTTGCATTTATTTTAATATTTAAGTCATATACTTTAGTGTAATAGGTGAATTTAACAATATTTGGTTAATAGTTAACAACTCCTACCTAAAGATTAGCTTTTACGCTTGACTTATTTTATCAGTTATTTTGGTCAAATATAGCTCATATATAGTAGCTTTAAAATATAAAATATAAAGAAAAATATATATTTCAAAAATCGTATATGAGGCCTATATTTAAAAAAAAAAAAGATAATAATCAAATGTAAATAATGCACGCTTTATAACTTATGAAAAATGTTTTCAATTAAAAATAATGTATATAAACTTCATATACTTTTTTTTTTTTCATTTGGTAAATAAGTTGGAAATGATAGTATAGTTTACGTTTCTTTTCCCAAAAAGTTCCTTTTAGAAATCCTAATTCCTTATTTCTAAACGGGTTAAGAATGATTTTAGTGTCGAAATTTTTGTGTAAAATTAGAAATAGTTTCTTTGTCAAAGTTCACGTAGAAATGATCTCATTTTTTTGAAACTATTGGAATATATCTTTATTTTAAACGATGTTAAATATATGATGACTTATCTTACGAGAGATAATATGATTTATTCATTATTTGATACATATAATTATTAAAAAAATTAAAAAAATAAAGTTTTTCTTAAAAAAAATAAAAATTATTCAATAAAGATTATTATTTAAAAAAATAAAAAATAAAATTAAAAAATAGAAGTTTTTATTTTTTCCTCATGCATCAAAGTTCTTAAGTTTTCGTCACAATCACTTTTCATTCTCTCTTATTTTCTTATCACATTTACTTTTCTCGTTCTCTCTTCTTTGTTCGTCATACACCAAAGGTCTTTTCCTTCTTCCCCTTTCTCTATAAAGGTTGTATGAAGTCAAAGTGACTTTGAAGTTCGAGAGTTTCATCGGTTTGTTGTGGTTCGATCGACAGTGACGACAATGGTGCACAACGGGCAATGTGCGATGGTAGTATATCATAACTAGGATTTTTATTTTCAAAAATTAAGGTAGAAAAATTTAAATGACTTATAAATGACAGAGAAGTTTAATTTTTTTTAAATGACTTTTAAATGCTATAAATACATATTTAAATGACTTTTAAAAGCTTGACACCTTTTAATTTTATTTTTTTAAATAATCACATGTGTCAAATAATGAATGAGTTATACTATTTCTGTTAGATAGGTCAGTACATATTTAACGTTGTTTAAAATAGAGACCTATTTTAATCATTTCAAAAGTATAGAGATCATTTTTATGTGAATTATGACATATGGATTATTTTCAATTTCACATGAAAATATAGGGACTAAAAACATATTTTCCCCTTTCTAAATTTATGTTAACTTTTATGATAATTATTTTATAAATTTTAAGAACTCACTAAATTTGAATAAATAACGTTATAATATTGAAACTCCTAAAAAGTAAAATTTAATTAGAATATATTTTCAATCGGTCAATTATAGATGACCTTGTACGGTAATTTGCTAACCATTATTATTTAGAATTTATACTTAAAGCTTTTTTTATCAATATTGAAACAATTTCCATTAATATTCCATAAAAATTAACTCTAATATAGAAATATATGTATGAAGTATAAAACATTTTAGCAAGGTTCTTATGACGATGTTTTCTTTCGCAGTGGTTGAATTCTGAGGTTGTTTGTTATGCGGTTTAGAAAAAAGAAAAGAAAAAAGAGAGACTTGGGTCCATTTATCTGTGAGCCCAATTGGTTATTGTACGAATCGATTTGCAAATTAATGAAGTTTAATATATAAATTGATGGATTAACTCATTTAAATTTAATTGCATATAAATAAAAAATATATAGTTTTTTTTTTAAATAATTTGAGTGTAAAAGGAATCAAATTAAAATTGGGCCATTTATAAAAAATATATGCAAGTAAAAACAAATAAAGACACGGTTGTTGGTCCATCTAATGCAGACTCAATTGAAACGTGAGACTCTGCAAGGTGTGTTTACAGCAGTTCTTTGAAAACAAATAACAAAAAAAAAGTAGTTTTTTTTTTTTTTTTTTTTTTTTTTTTTTTACGTTAAGATGTACATAAAATTTTGTATTAGTTTTTCTAAAAAAAAATTATACATAAGACAATATTAATATATAGAAAAGTTCATTTCATCTTTTTTCGTTTTAAAATAATTTTATCTAAGAAAATTTATTTAGTATTTATTTGTGAAAAAAAGGTTTCACTTAAAAATAAAAATAAAAACTAATTTTATATGTACTAAAAATTTCAAAATTAACTTATACGGTCAACTTTTACATATATAAAACACACATTTAAGTCATTTAAAATGATTTTTGTTGAAATATACCTAAGTTGGGTCGTTCCACATTATATACTAATATTTAGGCACCTCTTTTTCTCTTGGTCCAACATGTAGTCACGCACGTTCTTCATTGTCATCATTCGTATAAATATCTTCATTTTTTTTTTTTTTTTTTTTATCATTGTCGTGATCATTCAACTCACGTAATCGAACATGTATTTTGGGACGATCGTTTGACGTAATTGGTGAGTGGATATAGTATTATTATTATACCATAAATCAATGTTCAAATTCATACCATCTACCAATACATAAAAAGTTAAACATAAACATTAAATCAATCATACACGTGCCTAAAACAGAATAATTTTACTGATCAATTTACACTTAATCTATCAAAACCTTTCATATTATTTACATAAGAGGATGTAATCAAAATTAAATCATGCTATTGAATATTCCAATTATTATAACTAAATGATAAATAAATATTTAAAAAGAAAATAAAAATAATTATAAATTATTATGTCCACAACATAATTGGTTGAGTTAATAACTTAATTATTATTACACTTAGTAAAACCCTAAACCCTAAATTTTATATCAGTAAAATAATCATAACAATTAAATAATATATAAATTTTGTAAAAGAAACTTTTATAATGTATTAAAAACTAAATTAAATATAATTTTATAAAATTTTAATGTTAAAAATACAAATAAAATCTAAATCAAATATTAATATTACTCGGGTTTAATTTCAGTAAAAATACAATAATATTTATTGCCACTAATACGTTTACTCATAAAATTATAAACAAATATAAAAAAAAAAAGATCACATTATATTTAAAACTATTATTGTTGAATTATGAAAGAAAAAACTTAAAATGAAAATGGTTATCTTTTGCGCTAGGTAGGGTGTAGCATCATGGAATTAAGGGCAAATAATAAGTAATCAATTAATCTGCATATATAATATAGTTACGTATTCTCTTTATGATATGTATGCTTTGTGACTTTTTTATATATATATATTTTTAATTAGTTATTCAATCAAAATTAAAATTTTACTCTCTGAACAATTCTAATTAAAATTTAATTCCTTAGATAACATGAATAAAATAAACTATTTCTAATCACAATTAACTAGTATTTATTAAGTTAGTTATTTTTTAAGTTTTTGTAAGGCTTAAACATTTATAATATATTTGAATTGTGAATATAAGAATCTCTAAAATAATTCCAACTTTCATTTTTATAATAATAAGTACAAAATACCCATTCTCTTGGGACAAGACTTACATATATAAACTCATATCTCCCTTTTTATGGAATATTCTTCAAATTTTATCTTTCATTTGGATTAATCTGTCTTACGTTTATACCAACGTGGACCTAAACAAAGGTAGTACCTTGAACCATAAAAAAAAAAAAAAAGTAGTGGACCTTGTTTAATATGTATGTTATTTTATTGAAATGAAAAAGTATTGCGCACATATTTTTTTGGGTTATCCTAATGAAGGATACTCTCTTCTAAATCAAACAAATGATAATATACAGTTGTCAAAAATTAATAATAAAAAAAACAGTTTCTTGCAGACTAAGAAAAAGTGTTATAATGTACAACTGTCAAATGACTATTTAAAAAAAAATCATAAACTAATTTATATTTGTTTACAATAATAAACTAATTTTGTTGGCACTAAAAAATTGTAGTTTTATTCTGTAATAAATACATTAACTTTTTACCATTACAAATATTAATATAATTTATTTTAAAAGAAATAAAAATAATAATAATAATTTTGGAAAAAGAAAATTACAGTGAAAAATACAAAAAGTATAATTAAAGTGGGGCATTGCTTGTAAGTTTTATATGTGGAATAGTAGAAGTGTAGTTGATATTGAATACTTGAATGCAGAGCACAATTGAACGACGAATGAGACCATAAAGCCTCTGTGGCTCCACATGCTTTGTCAGTGGTCACCATCACAACACTGTAATAATCCCCATGCA